GTTTTTTTCCGATACCTCATCTTCTGGTCTTTCCCGTCCAAACTGGAAATCTCATCGTCGCTTTATAATGGATTAGTTAACCCGTCTTAAAATGGATTCAAATGAAAAATTTAATTGGTTGTAAGCACATTGCGATGTTTTGAAAATCTTGTTATTATCATTATTAATTTTAATTGAATGTAGGATTCGTCTTGGCAAGATGACTTTACCATTTTTTTCTAAATAGAGAGGAGCTATTCCCCAAATGTAACCAGTCATAACCAATGATTGGATACCGATAAAACTTTTCGAGAATCTTTTGTCACCATTTGCATTAAGCACTTTCTGTTTTGATAGAAAGAATTTGGTTTCTTTTGCTTAAACATGAACAGTCTCCATAAATAATTTTTGCTAAAACAACTCAAATGATTCCAATAGATCTTTGAAATAATCATCAGCATACTTGCTGGTAGTGAGCTCAACGTTAATATCATCTCAAGATGACGAAGACCATGTGCAGTATCCATTGTTTTGTTATCTTTTGTTTTGTACCGTGTTCTGCCAAGAACTAACATTTAGAAACCTTCTTACAAACGGGGTTATCACATAATGATAATGAAATAGAAATTGAGAAACATACGGAGCATTTAAATCAGGACCAAATTGAAACATTTGCCACAAGGTGGATTGTAACCTCAATACCTTCGTTACATCAGCAGCGATACCGACGCAGTGGCATTCAATACACATGAAAGAGGGTTTCCGTGCGCATATCACATGTTTCTGCAATAATCTTTATAAGGTTCACTCGTGGCCAATAGTTTGAAAGCTTAAAGTATTCAACACTTGAGAGCATAAAAAGAACAATTAAAACCGTCTACTGAGGCAATCTTTTCCCTATGGAGTCGCAATCCTTGTTTTTTTGTGCAAATATCAAATTCATGATATGGAAATTCACCCGACAAAATGTATCGTTTAAGTAAAGACAATACCATGGCCTTGCGATTGGAATAGTTATAAAGAAACCTGCTTTGTATTGAAGACTTTCGTTGAGAGGCGAAAGATAGCAAAGGGACATTTAAACTCATAAATCAAAAATAAACTGACAACGTCATGACAAGTAAGAACAAACCCGGTAACAGGTCTAATTTGGTCGTCATCTGTAAAACAGATATTCCATAACGGACAACCAACTCGTGATGGCGTCGGTAATATTTACGAAGGGATGATTTAAACTTCACTACTTAGAACTCTTTGTTTAATAGCTTATTTGTGAGCAGCAACCCTCTATCAAGGGAATCATGATTGGAAATACAAGCCCTGAAATATAGTATCAACTTGGAGACATATACTCCATATGCAGGCGCTGCTGGAATGTTGCTACATAGAAATGGAAAATTCAGAATTTGGAAGCTAAAATTATCTCTTTTGTCGTAAAGTTTTGTTTTCAACCGATCTTCATTGTCAATTTCTAGATGTAAGTCAAGATATGAGGCAGACTTGACTGTATCTGTCGTATTCTTTATCAAATTCGATGGGATAGATGCGTTCAATATAGTCACCAAACTTTGAATTTTTAGTGAGAGAACATCAACTATAAAGCGGAAAGTGAAGTTAAAAGATCATGCTTCTTTTCTTTCTTCCTAAGAAAATCCTGTATGAAGTCAGCCTCATATGACTAGAGGAACAAGTCGGCAAGAAGAGGAGCACAGTTGGTTCCCATGGGAATGCCGATTATTTGTTGAAAAACACGTCTTCCAAGCGTAATAAATATGTTGTCAATCAAGAAATCAAGCATCTTGATAATGTCAGCTTCAGAGAAATCTTTGTTTGAATGAGAGTAATTTTTTTCCAAGTACGATTTATGCCTCCCTAAGATAAGATTCTTGTATCTACGTTGGCCATTCTTTTTGTATGAACCAAAACAGAAATTTGTTTCTTAAAACTTTTTTCTTTGTAAAGCTACATAATGTTAGTTAAAAATTAAAATAGCAAAATGTGGTTTGATTGACAATGAGACAACTCTCTATCAGAGACCAAATGACTTAGAAGTAGATCACTATAGGTCACCATTTGGCCTTCAACAATTACAAAAACCCATACCCCATAGTTAAATAATTACAGAACCTTTACATTTGAAATTATGAATATATATTAAGATATAGCAACAGCTTTGCACAGGCTACTGGGCGGAAGGTACATTCGTGTACTGCAATCCAACAACAGCGTTACAATCCCAGAGATAATAACATAAATGCATAACACCGATTCAGCAATATTTAAGAAAGATTAAACAAACAAGTGTAATGCCACAATCGACATGCTCAAGTCATCAAAAGAGTCTAAAGATATTGATAACATGAATGAACGGAGATGCGAGGTATACATCAGTGGGCAGCAATTCAATACATATGGTGAACTTTCCCATCTTGACATTCTGCGTTGCATAAAACAACTATCAGTGTAACCCTTTATTTTTCAACTGTAAACAAGATATCGTAGAGTGGTTGTATCGAACACAAATTAAGGCTAAGTAAGAAAAAACGTCTGCTTGCAATGATACTTGTATTGGAACTCTGAAATAGGTAACGTCACAACAGCGGTAACGTCGTATACATAAAGAGCGGTAGAGCGAACATCGGATATGTGCAATCCGGAACAAAGAAGTTATATTCACTGAGTCATAACGACTAATTGCTGTCAAATTCATTATTTTATAAATAGTTTTATTATATTACTAGTGTTTCTTTACTTTATGTTTTCAATAGTTTTGAAATATACTATTAGTCAATTGTAGAGCGAATAAGCACATCAATGATATCATAAAAATAAGCACTATTCTATTTCAGGAAGAAATATAAGATGTCTAACAGAGGGTGATATTGTTCGTAAAGATTGTAAAGTATGTAGCTTAACGGGATATGGTATATGCAAGTTTAAAAAATAAAAGCAATGACTTTTTAACTTCAAATGACGAACACTTTTGATTTTTTTAGAATACGTAAAAGTGAAAGCATCTACATAAAAGTTGTAAATAAATTTAATTTATTTGATATGTTATCTTTAAAAATGAATTGTTACCTTTTTCATTTCTTCATAATATGGCTGGTTATTTTTTAAATAATATATTTTTTGTCAATTTAGCGTTTGCGTTCTCGAACTTGATTTTTTTTGTTTTTGTTTTTATTTTAAATGTCTTTTGGTTCTACAGAAAACTTACGATTGGCCCACACGAACCCAATTAAACGAGATCTTATTAGGATGTTTTGGAAGGTAACGCAGTTTAAAAAAATCCTTTATTGTGAAACGGGATTTGTACAATTATTTCATAATTATTTGTTTTTCCCGTAAAAGATTTTCATTTCATGTCAAATCACCTTTCAAAATTGTATTGTTTAATCTTAATTCGGAATGGAAACTTAACTCCCCAGAGGTATCACCAGTAGTCAGCACTTCTGAGTTGACATAAGTTATCATTGGTATGGCTCATAAGTATAAATTAACTGTTTTCAAATCTTTGATTTTTTCGAAAAACTAAGTAGTTTATATCCCAGCTGTATTTGGCAAAACCGTTCGGATTTTTGGTCCCCAATGCTCTTTAACCTCGAACTTTATTTTGCCTTTTAACTTTGTTTGATTCGAGCGTCACTGATGAGTCTTTTGTAGATGAAACACGCGTCTGGCTTACAAAATAATAATTCTGGTATCTATGATGAAATTATTTACCCGGAGTTCACTTACATTTAAACATCATAATTGGACAACCTTTTTAAGGTGGTACTTCTGCTATTTAATCAAGTTTGGGTCTTGGCCTTTTGAGATAATTCCCTTGGTTCTTTTATTTTGAAGACTGTTTAAGACGAAAAATGAAAAATAAACTAGATAAAGGTGGATCGAAGAAAGGGGAGGGGGTTCTAAGTTGTCCTTTTTGACTGAAAATTTGTGATTTTTAGTTTGTTATTTTTATTTGCCTACTCATACGTGAGGAATATGTCGGAGGGAAGGTAGATTATTTAGGATCTGGAAAGGTCAAAATGGTGACCAATATCGCAAAGTCATATATAAGGTAAATTCTCTTAAACTACATAAGCATGTGAGTTGTGGATTCTAATTTGTATCTTTTATTGTATTGTAGACTCGCCAGTCTGTGAATAATTATCAGCAGACATGGACAGTGAACACAATTCCATATGCATTTGCATTGAACAACTACAGTAAGTACATATTCGTATTTCATGGAGATAATGATTGGTATTTTGACAAATTCATATAAAATCAATACATTTGATAGCCTTAACTTATTATTTTACGATTTCAATCTTATGACATATATATTTGAATGAGAAAATAAAATAGTATATTACATACATGTAACCATATTCAATGTTACTTTGGTTATAAAATGGTTATTAAAAAAATGTTTACATATGTTCTCAAAACTATTCGTGAACATGGACACGAGGTTGGTAAATAGTTACAGTAAATTGAAAAGGCTTAAAAATCTCGCTTAATTTTTACATCCATCTTTTCCTCTTTTTTCATTAAGCTGCTGAAGAAAGACACTTTATAGTGACAGTATTCCAAAGGGTTATGTCCTTAACGGACAAATGTATTACATTTACTCCGCGCACAACTGAAAAAGATTACGCTTATATACAGAAGGCAGGAGGGTAGGTAGTGTCCAAAGAAACTGATAAGAAATACTTGATTGATGCTGGTAAAAATTTACTATCTTAATATATATCATGGCAAATCATGTAGTAATCCTATTATAAAATAAATTATGTAAATTAATAATAGACAGTAGGAGATAAAACGTTTTTCAAAGTAGAGAAATATGAATCAAGAAAACTAACAGTATAATTATGTTGTTTTATGCAAAATAAAGAATTTTTTATAAGCAGATATGCTTAGATATACCAAATTAAGCTCAATATATCAAACTGAATAAAAATTTGATAGCAAAGCCATTTTTAATATGTTTCTTATTTGCTTATAGGTGTTACAGTGAAGTTGGTAGAGTAGGTGGCGCTCAAATTCTATCTATTGATGACCACTGTTTTAAAATGCATACAATTATGTATAATGGTACTGTTTTGCATGAAATTATGCATACACTAGGATTTTGGCACGAACATACCCGTCCAGATAGAGATCAATATATAAAAGTAAACTACGACAATGTCATGCAAGGTAAACGATTTTCCCCCTTATATAGATGTCATTCAGATACTTGATGTATAATAAGACATTTATCATTCATAGGAATTATTTTTTCCAAGCATATGTTTAAACCTTTAATTAATTAAAATCACACCTTTAACTCTGCTCGTTTAAATTTTGTTCTGTCGCAGTGTGGAAGATCTGAAGACATCTCAGAAGGGGCCATGTTCAGATGACATTTTATGCAAATTTTTTAATCGTAATCGACCAACCATTATACGCTGTCACTTTGCTTATAATTTCCTCCCTTGTAACTATATATTAACACAATTGATAAAAATGCCAGTGTTTAAGTTTTTTATTATTATCAAATTGCGATTTCTAATTTGAAAAATTAAAACAAAAACACCGAAACTTTCCTGCTTGGCAAGTAGAGGAATGTTTACGGTTCGATGCATAACATCTGATCGATGTCCGGAAAATATATGGTTAGAAAATCGGTATATATTCGAAAACATTTCATAGTTAACTGGACATTTTTTGATATCCCATGTCAAACCAAAAATATTGTAGGAAAAGATTTGATTGGAGTCATAAAGATCATTTGGACATGACCCCATTTTCTTGCACATCGCGACAAACAAGTCTGGCGGAGTGAAAGATTTGATTTAAATACTAGTAACATTGAATTCAGAGCAGAAATCTTCATGATCAGTAAATAAACAAGCAAAATTATAGACAAATTCTTTCCCTGTTAATTTTGTAACTGTTTTCCTCTTTCGAATGAAAACAGTGTCTTCCACAAAGAGTTGCAAGAAACGAAATTTTAATACCATACTATACCAAAGATTTATAATTGAGGATTGCTTGAACACATTAGTTCTGTTCATGTTATATAAATAGAAAAGAGAATCGAAACGGGGAATATGTCAAAGAGACAACAACCCGACCAAAGAGCAGAAAACAGCCAAAGTCCACCAATGGGTCTTAGGTACAGCGATAGAATCCCACATCCGGAGGCGGGATTCAACTTGCCCCTAAACAATAAGGTATACTAGTTCAGGGAAATGGACGCCACACTTAAACTCCGAAACATAAAAATTAACCAAAATTTAAAAAAAAAAAACACACAAGACTAACAAAGGCTAGAGGTTCTTGATACGATGAGGTTAACTATGATTTTGTGTGATATCAACCATCACTTAATACTTCTAGCCATGTGGAATAAACAAACACACAGCAATACGAATGGTAAAACTAGTTTAAAAGAAGTCTGAGTCCGATGTTGCTGCAATGTTTAATGTTAATTTTCTTTTTAAATCTGATATGTTAGGTTCTTCTTCTTCCGGCAATGAACAGTCTTCCTAGGGGAGTATAATCGTACCGTTGACTATTTACATACTCGATGCGAGGAAAACATTGTGGTAATGTTGTGCTCCATTATATTCTGGCTAAAACGACGTCACTTTATATCGACTTTGTACTTTGCTCTTTTCTCATTAAATATGAATCAGTTATGAGTTTCAGTTTTGATTTTGTAGCATTGATGTTACGCTACTGGTTCTGGAGTCGGAATTCTATTTGCCAGTCTGCTTCCCTCGGTCGTAATCCGTCCAGATCTTTTTGGAGCTCGTCAGTATCGTCTGTATTTTATATCTGATGGTTCAAGACACAATCATATGCAAATTTTTATGTTGACACGTACTTTGATAGATCATTGATGAACAGCAAAAACATGACTGGAAACAATGTACTTCCTTGCGATACCCGATACTGTACAGGTGCTGACTCAGATGAATGCCCTATAAGTAAGACACGTTGTTGCCTTCTTCCAAGACGTCTCTTAGCCAGGCCAGAGTTGTACCCCTTATACCATAATGGTGTATCTTGTATTGAAGCCTCCGTGTGGTTACTTATCAAAGCCCTTTGAAAAATCTAGTAGTAAAGCTCCATATGTCCATTATTGTCGACATTCCTTGTAAGGTTCTAGATGGTAAGTATGAACTGGAACTCACAAGATCGTGAATCCGTGTTTGGCATCATTCAGTATCGAATATTTCTCTATGTGCTTCATGATGTTACTGTAGATAATGTATTCTAGGATTTTACACACGATGGCGGTGAGTGGGATAGGCCTATAATTTAATGCTCGACTTCTGTCTCCTTTTTCAAGATGGGAGCATTGTCATTTTTTGCAGTCGGGTGGTAATGTACCTTGATCTAATGAGGTTGGGGGAAAATGTTGTAAATATGCTGGAAATACCTGTAGCAACTGTTCTGAGCAGTCTTGTTGTTATCTCATCTGGTCCAGACGCTTTGTGGATGTTAAGGTTTAACAAAAGTTTAGAAATTCCATTTGCTGTAAAATATGTTCTCCATTGATTGAAATGGTAACCGTTGTGTTTTCATACCTTTAATGTTGGTTTTGTCTTCATTGCTGTCGAAAGCAGAAGTACACTGATTGTTAAAGAAATTAGCTTTGGAAGTGTTGTCCGCGTAAGTAAGGCCATCTTTGGTTGAGATTAGGTCAAACGTTGCATTTCCTCTTGTTTTGGAAAGTGACAATCATTTACCATTTCAAAAAACCTATTGTTGACTAAATTTGGGTTTTGTTTGCCGCTGACTGATGCGTTGTTCCAATCTTTATCGGGCATATTGATATCAACTTCTATCCACTGAGGCCACTAAACTACAGGCTCCCGACTTGGGACATGCACATACAGAATGTGGCGGGGTTAAACATGTTCGAATGCAACAACCCTCCCCCTTACCAGGGACAGTGTTGTGACATTACAACATAAGAACAAACTATAAAATATATAAAAATAGTATGTTAATACTTATTTTCATGTTTGTTTTTTATTAAACGAGTTTAACAGAACGTTTTCTAGCGAAATTTTTTTACCAATGGTGTACCTGCGAGGAACATGCCAACCATTTAAGAGTTCCACTTGTAAATGTTTGCATGGGGATGTTTTTTACGCATGTCTTCTTTACAGTATGCATGAAATCATCGGATAATCTCAGATAATCAACGTTGTGTTAATTTTTTCGAGTATAGCATAGATGTACAACTAGACAAAAATATTTGTGTTCGGATTCATTGAAAAAAAATCATCCTGCAGACAAAGGTTAGATTGTTAACTTTTCATCATATCAAACTTTAAGGAAATTTGGAATGCTAGGAGAATCCACAGTTTTGATTGGTCTTCTATTCCCTGTTAGTAAATTCTTCCAACCATCTCTCATTTAACTGCTCCTCAACAAAAAAAACTGAAACGCAACATTGAATCCTTAAATGATCAATTTCGAAAAAAAAAAAATTTAACGTCTCTTTTTAATTTGTATGTTATCAACATATGTTATTTAATATAAAAATATATATTAAGATAAATTATTTTCTTTTAGGTCACTATTATGACTACAACAAGATGGACCCAACTGAAACTGGTCAGAATGACAAGAAGTATGATTATTATTCAATAATGCATTATTCTACAAGAACTTTCGCAAAGGACAGACAAAAACCCACATTTGAACCAACACAACATGTAAAAATGCCTGATATTGGGCAAAGAAAATACCTCTCTGATATAGATATCAAAGGCATTCGCCAGTTATACCAATGTGGTATGTATGTAGAAAAAATAATGCTTTCAATTAACAGTAACAAATAAAAATTATTGTGTATACAGTTATAATGAGAATGAATTGCAACTTGTAGACCAAAGCAGAAAAACAGATATTGATTTGATTTACCTATCAACATGTAGGTAATTTTTCCTTATTGGGACCTGACCTTAATGAATCCAAAACAAGGAATACGTTTCATAAGATGAACAATAATTCCAATCTACAAGTGTTCACCTTTCTGAAATAGAATTTTCTTCAGATAAGACTCTGTTAAGCGCTGTGTGACATCAAATACAACTTTTGAACCCTCGAACCAAAACGTTTAGGTAGCCGAATATAACAGAGCGGGAAACCGACGTATTACATACAAATGGAGAGTAAAACAATCGCATGAACTACAAACAGAATGAGGCCAGAAAAGCCAACAAGGTGAGAATCCCCTTCACGAATAAACCAACTGTCACAAGATCATGTTCAGCAGACAAAACCAAGAATATAGTAAGATAAAAGTCAGATAGACCATGGTGTGTATGCGATATGAAAAGTTTTTAAAAATAAAACCAGTAAGTTGAAAAAAATACGTCCCACTACTATCAACAAATACTTAACTGCCATTCAAGAAATTTCAGTCGTACATCCTATTCACCTTGCAAGAGTAGGATTTGAAGTAAGAGTTTTTCCAAATAAATAAAATCGCGATAATTAAAATCAGTTTTGATTATCATAAAGCGAAACGAACAAAATGCAAAATGTTCTTACAAAAAGGCGAGATAAAGCAAAAAATACGAATAAAAATTTCCGGACTAAATGAAATTTATTTTTTGAAGCTGAAGTGGGAACAAGTACATATTACTGGAATAGTGACATTGCTATTGACGACATTGTCATTGCAACATGTGGTCAGATAAAAGATTATGACGGTTGGTTAAATAGACAATCAAAAACCACGAATACTGTTGCAAGGTTCGCATGATTAGTGGTGGAGCTGTTAAATCGGTACAGAGCTTTATATCGACTAATTTATTGTTTTGTCTCTTGTTACATGAAATTTTATGTTGTTTTAAAAATATATGATATTGTTTTGTGACTCTTACCTTTCGAAAATGAAATTGTAACCAGATCGGGATAATACATCACTGTGTAACAATAGGCATTACTAATCTACTCATCGTCCCACTATTATCAACAAATACTTAACTGCCATTCAAGAAATTTCAGTCGTACATCCTATTCACCTTGCAAGAGTAGGATTTGAAGTAAGAGTTTTTCCAAATAAATAAAATCGCGATAATTAAAATCAGTTTTGATTATCATAAAGCGAAACGAACAAAATGCAAAATTTTCTTACAAAAAGGCAAGATAAAGCAAAAGATACGAATAAAAATTTCCGGACTAAATGAAATTTATTTTTTGTCCGGATCCGGACAAAGCAGAGGCAGACAAAAAACGCTGTATCAATAGCGTAAACTGAGGTAAGTAAACAATCTACACATGCGCATTGCACTGCATAAATCTAATTCAAAATGAAGTGTACCATAAGTTTGCTGCAAGTAATAAAGTTACGTTATAACAGTTGCATGAAGGTAAATGTTGTCAGGTGTATGGCAACAGTTCAGTCTCATATTGGACTGAATATTGTACAGCATGTACAGATAACGAGCTTTTAGCAACATTTGGGAATTTGAAAATATGGAGTGTAATCTCATGAAAAATGCGAATAACAAAATATATGTAAAGAAAAACATTATGCCAGTTAATAGAATTTTGTCTTTTTTTACTTTCCTTAAACACGCAATAAAAGCTTAGAATGTGTATTCGTTTTTTTTTTAATACAGGCACTCCGAAAGTATGTGGCAAGCCAGTCTTACACATCTATAGTAACCCAGTAGTAAAAATCGGAAATTTCCCTTTAACGGGTTCAAAAGTACGATACTCCTGCAAGTATCATTACACACTGGTAGGACCATTAGAAAGATTCTGTAGGAATGATGCAAAATGGTCAGGTGATGATCCATACTGCTTGGGTAAGTAACCATCATTTATACAAGTTGCCATTGTCAACGTTTTAAATTCGACAAATCCTCAAATTTCAACTGTATAGATTACCCTATCTGTATTTGGCAAAACCTCTCGGAATTTGGATCCTTAATGCTAAAACTTAGTACTTGATTTGGCCTTTTTAATTTTTCAAAGTTGATTCGATCGTCACTTGTGGGTTTTTTGTAGACGAAAGGGGCGCGTTTGGAGCAACAAAAATTAAGCCTGGTATCTGTGACGAGTTTATTAAAGAGGTTACTTACTGTCTAGTTTTGATGGACAAAAGCTAGTTTTTGGTTATACTTTTTTGTCATATTTAGTGTATAAGCTCTGGATTTTCAAATATTTTGGCCCTGAGCATCACTGAAGAGACATTTTTTGTCGAAATACGCATCTGGTGCATAAAAATTGGTACCGTTACTGTTTTTAATATAACTTTATAAAGTTTAGTACATGTTTACAACTTTTTTACAAAGGATCCAGTGCCGTAACAAGATATTGTAATTTTGATGAAAGTAATTGCAAGTGGGGTCCAGACACAGTAAATAATGGATACGGAGAATGGATACGACACACAGGATCAACAGATACAGATCAAACAGGGCCCGTCTTTGACCATACACGGGAAACATCAGACGGTATGTTTTGTTATCTGCACAGAATATTTCAATATTTTACATATAATAATTGACAAATAACACACAACACTTCAATACTTTTAAAAAATTTTCTTGAGATATATATTTAAAAACAAAGAACCTCCCTTTTAAGACAAATATTTTCAGAAGATAATTTTGTGCATTTCAGGTTACTATATGTATGTTGAAAGTTCTAAGAGCAGAGGGAAAAAATTCAGAATGAGACTTTTTGATGTTCCGGTTGGAGTCTGTATGTCGTAAGTCATTGTTAACAGTTCAAAATAAAGGGCTGATGAGAACAATTCAGCAATTGAGTCATAAAAACAATGCAAGGCCGCATGATCACCATATTCAAATTTAAACTGGTTGGCTTGGGGTGGGTGGGGGGGTACTACTTACAGAGCAATAGCTATTTCCTTTATTTACAAGATTTCATAATAGTGGAATAGGTAATATCAAAATAAATTGACAATTTTGGATGAGATTTGTAAGACATGATAAGAATCGTAAAGTATGCTCGTTTAGTGAAGTACTATTTTCTAAAAATCATAATGGTAGGCCAGTCATTTTCTGGTTTTGAAAGAACAAAAATAGCAAACCTTAATTGTAGTTTGTGAAAAGGGTTCTAAACTTCATGAAAATCAAACAGTGGTTTAACAAACAGAAATATAAATATATTTTGGTTTAATTTTTAAAATACGCCCCATCAAATCATGTTTCTACGAGACTCGTGTATAATATATCTTTGTAACCCAGATCTGCAACAAGGAGGACTACACGGAAAGTGATATAATTTCTGAATATGATCATAACTTCTGGTTTTTTGTTTTGTTTTGTTTTGTTTTGTTTTGTTTTTTTTGTTTTTGTTTTTTTTTTTTTTTTTTTTTTGTTTGTTTTTTTTTGGGGGGGGGGGGGGAAGAAGAGGGGGGGGGGGGGGTCCTAGCATATTTTCCCCATATACTTTTTTATTCGTTAGGATATGTATAGAACAATTTAAAAACATTACTATGATGTTCGTTCGTGCAGAAATAGAGATGCTTACTTTAAGAAAATGTTTATAACACAATCAAAATTTAGTTTTATTTGTAAAGATCACCACTTGTTAACATGTAATGAGAAGCAATGTTGCATTATGTGTATAAAGATTAATCTTTGTTTTGCTGATATAATCTGTACACGTCAGTTATATTATAAGGCTACCAAAATTTGGATTAAGAAATAAACGATTCATTCCTTGAAAAATTAATGTACATGACCTAATGCAAGAAGAACAAAAATTGATAGAAATATTTTTTTTTCCAGAAAAGTAAAAACGCTTAAAATTAATAATACGATATTGATAAGTTTTGTGCGCGAAATGTTTTTACAGTAATCTTTCAGAATGAGTTCAGTGAGTTCCTTTTATACTTTACCATGTACTTTTAAGTTATAACACAATAAATAAGAGAAAGCGGCATAAAAGTAAATGTGTTGTACTTGATTTATTTCAGATTTTATATACATAAATATGGTAAAGGCATAGTGCCAGGTTCACTTAGGGTTTTTGCTGCACAAAATAGAGGTACACGGGAGAAAAAGGTATGGCAAGATGATGGGATAAATTCAACAAAATGGACTCGACAACTAATTTTAACAGGAATAATTGGGCCATACGGAATAAGAGCAAAGGTAAATATATAAGCTACTGTTTTTACTCGATGTTCAAAGGAAGGATAAATATCGGTATAAATAACTGACAACAAGATCTAAATAGAAATTAATTATTGAATGCTGATTTAATTGTCGTAGAGTCCTCAATGCTCTTCAATTCGTACTTTATTTGACCTTTTGAACTTTTTGATTCGAGCGTCACTGACGAGTCTTTTGTAGATAAAACGCGTGTCTGGTGTACGAAATTTTAATTCTGGTTTCTATGATGAGTTTATATAGAACACATTTGAGACTCCAGTTATGCTTTTCAGAGAGAACAAAAATACAAACGTTTCATGCTTAAAGATCTGTTGGTGAGGCTTTACTATTGTTGTTTATAGCTAATATTTGTTTGAAACGGATGAATCTTCTCAACTTTAATTAGAAAAAGATAACGATACAGTTGTAAGGAAAATTATGTTCAATCAAGTCAGTATCTATGTTAGTTATATAACATAGCTAGTGTGAACCTACTTTACTGAGGATCGTAATGGGGGATACCTTCATGACGAATAACGGTAAAAAAATCTTGCCAAATGATGTTAACGGTAATTTTTGGTGCATGACGATAAAATGTACATTTTCTTTATTACGATAAAAAAAAAATCGACTGATTTTGACGAATCACGTTAAATCATTTCCAAAATTAACGGTAATGGTTAATTTTTGGAAACCTCTGACGAATCACGATAAGGATACTTTGACGATCACGATAAAATTTTAACCAATTTGACGATAACAGTATCCGAAAATGACCGTTTGACGCCTGGCGGTAAAGGGCATTCCTACTCTCTTTACTCGTGTTCAGGTCTACGGATTACATAAGCTGTGCATTTATAACTAAAATAAACCTATTTGATTGGTCAATAACTACATGCATATCTTAACACACATTCAAAACACATCGACTCACAAGTGCTATACTCTATACAAAAAAGATTTCATTAGAAATATTTTTTTTTTGTATAATTGGGTTAAAATTCATATTACATTAACATGTTCTCGTCCCGATTAATTTTCCGCTGGACGTTGAACAGCCATCCATCAACGTCATTTAGGAAAAAGATAATTCGGTTTTAAAGTAGACATACTTTTTTGGAGGTTGTTGTTGTATATTCCAGTTATAAATTATGTGATTGTGCTATAACATATATTTAAAACTCCGTCAGGTAAAGTTGGTCCCAGTTTATTTTGGCTGTTCTGTTTATGTCCTTTTGATAATTATTTTATCCATCACTTTATATTGTTTGGCTCTCAAACGTTTGATCACAAGTTTACCAGAAGAAGGTTTTTGGACACACTGAAATCATGTTATTTCCACCTCATGAATATCTTTTTTTTTTATCTTACAGATGGATATAATATTTGAAGCTGAAGTGGGAACAAGTACATATTACTGGGATAGTGACATTGCTATTGACGACATTGTCATTGCAACATGTGGTCAGATAAAAGATTATGACGGTTGGTTAAATAGACAATCAAAAACCACGAATACTGTTGCAAGGTTCGCATGATTAGTGGTGGAGCTGTTAAATCGGTACAGAGCTTTATATCGACTTATTTATTGTTTTGTCTCTTGTTACATGAAATTTTATGTTGTTTTAAAAATATATGATATTGTTTTGTGACTCTTACCTTTCGAAAATGAAATTGTAACCAGATCGGGATAATACATCACTGTGTAACAATAGGCATTACTAATCTACTCATCTATATCGACAATACAAAATATTAGGGGGTATGAGGGGCAAATGAGAATCAAACACTTATTCTTTAAACCGAAAGAGAAATAGAGACCTTCAATGACATACGACTGTTTGTATAACATCGCGCTCTTAATCACCCCACACCAATATTGACAAATGTTGAATGAATTTTATTCCAGAAACATGTGTCGTGCAAAATAAATTTGGAATAAAAAGTTAACATTATATATATCGACTATAGAGGCAGTGGCAGATTCAGGGGGTATAGAGGGTATACGCCTCCATTTATATTTTTCAGTTTTGTTATTACACCCTCCCCACTACCCCCCCCCCCCCCCCCCCCGCATTAAAAAAAGAGCGCACACACGGAAATGTCTCGCCTGCTTAACTTATGATTGAATTCATGTTGAAAGTCTGTTATATGAAGGTTTTACTACAAGTATCGTATAAACTTAACATTATCAATGCTCCATGAAAATGAAGTCACGGTCAGATGAACCATGCCAGACAGACACGTACACTTTACAATCAAGCCATAAACCAAATATAGTGGTCCTATCGCCTACGGTACCTGAGAAACAGATCAAATCACGCAATCTTAACATTGACCTATGGACAATGAAAATGAGGTCAAAGTAATATGAACCCTGCCAGACAGACATGTACACGGTTACCTTACAATCATTCCATACACCAAATATAGTTGACCTATTGCTCAAAGTAACAGATAAACTGACATCACCACAAAAAACTATCATTGACCAATGAACCATGAAAATGAGGTCAAGGTCATATGAATCCTGCCAGACATGTACACCTTGCAACTATTTTATACACCAATTATACTTGACCTATTGCTTATATTATCTGAGAAAAAGACCAAATCACAAAAACTAAACTGTCCAATGGGACCAAGAAATAAGATAGTCAGATGAAACCTGCCAGTCAGACGTGTAGTCCTTGCAATCATCCCATACACCAAGTATAGTGGCCCCGTTCTTTTAGTATCTAAGAAATAGGCCAAACCACAAGAACTAAAAATTGTCCAATGAACCACGACATTTAGGTCAAAGTAAGGTAGAAGATGCCAGTTTGAATAGTACACCTGACAATCATTCCATACAACAAATATAGTTGACCTACTGCTTAAGGTATCTTAGGTAAAGACTTGACCACGTAATTTTTTTTACCTTGGTCACTGATCCACAAAATGAGGTCGAGGTCAGGTGAACCCTTCATAAAGGACATGTTGACCTAGCAAGGAACCGATATACCAAATATAGTAATCCTATTACTCATAATAAGTGAGTATTACACTTTTTAGTAAAAATGTAATTTTTTTTCAAGCAAAAAAATCTCTCGGTACCATGAAAACGAGGTCAATGACAATGGACATAAGACGAACGGAAACTTCGTCACATAAGGTATCTGCGTACAATGTATGAAGCATCTAATATGTCTTCTATATTCTGAAATATAAAGCCTTATACAAATAGTTTACGCCGTCACCGCCGCAGGATTGTAATCCCTATTTGGCATTCCAAAAACCTGGATCCGCCTATGAGAGATCTGCTATCAATTTAAAATTTCCTGACGTTAAGACAGATAATAAACCTTCGTTACATTTTTTCCCCTCCTTCCTTTTAATCATGTGTTGGCAATAATCATAGATGTTCTTGGGAACTATACGAAAGGAACAAATACAAAAAAAGTCAGCAAAAATGCAAGTTTTGAATTAACAAATCGAATTTGTCATCGGCGTCGGTATTTGATTCGTCTTTTATCACTTTGCGAACAAAAGTTTTAGCATTGTGATATATAATGGTCAGAGATGTATTATTAATACATAATTAAAACATTTGAATAAATAAAATCATTGTAACTAATTTGTATAAGACCAATATTATTTAAAATACAAAAATTGCTATGTTTCCGTGGAAAACAGAGATTGGATATAATTCATTGCTTAACAAGAATTTACAGGTCCAAAATATTTGTTATGTCAAAGGGTTAAATAAGCCTACACTCCTGACCAGTCTATAGTAGGATTTCAGACGATTAAAAAAGATGCGCATCGAAAACGAAAGTGTGCAAATCATTTGAACAGTCATGTAAATGAAGATCATTTTACTCGTTACAACCGGTAACATTTGTAAATGCACTGTTAATCTGAAATGCATATGACGGACAATAATACGAGTATACGACCTGAATAGTAGTTTCAATTTTAATCAAGTATTCAATGTACCTATCCTTTTGATACCCACCAGTATTAATCTCTTAATTAAGGTCATGAACATCCGATATTTCTTTCAGATACCACAAAAAGGACAACAAACATATTAAATTAAGGCAACAATCGTTTACCGATGGTCAAATCTCATAAATCGATTAACCTGATTAATAAAACAAATCAAGTTACAAATAGAACAAGAGTGCACACGCTGAAATGTCTCGCCTGCTTTACTACCATTGATTTTATGTTGATAGCCCTAATAAAAAAGTTTTACTACAAGTATCATATTAACTTTACATGATCCAAGAAAATGAGGTCAAGGTCAAATAAAACCTGCCAGACTGACATGTACATCGTAAAATATTTCCACACACCAAATATAGTTTATCTATTGCATATAGTATTAGAAAAAAAGACCAAAACACAAAAACTTAACTTGAACCACTGAACCATGAAAATGAGGTCAAGGTCAGATCACACCTGCCAGTTGGACATGTACACCTTACAATCATTCCATACACCAAATATAGTAGGCCTATTGCTTACAGTACCTGATATATGGACTTGACCACGAAAACTTAACCTTGTTCACTGATCGGACACCATGAAATGAGGTCGAGGTCAGATGAAAACTGTCTGACAGGCATAAGGACCTTACAAGGTACGCACATACTAAATACAGTTATCCTATTCCTCATAATGAGAGAGAAAATAACATTACAAACATTCTTAACTTTTTTTCGAGTAGTCAATGGACCATGAAAATGAGGTCAAGGACAATGGACATATGACAGACGGAAACTTCATAACATTAGGCATTTATATAAAAAGTATGAAGCATCCAAATCTTCCACCTTCTAAAATATAAAGCTTTTAAGTAGTTTGTTAACGCCGCAGCCGCCGCCGGATCACTATCCCTATGTCGAGCTTTCTGCGACAGAAGTCGCAGGCTCTACAAAAATCATCCACGAGGCAATTAGCTTTGCATATAATATACATATGTGCACAGAAAGGATAAACAGTTATATAATGGCAATGTTGGTATTGCTCACTATAATCAAAACAAGTTGAGGAAAAGAGAACGGGATAGGGTGGGACATATGGATTATATCCGTGGTCATCTACGACATAGATATTCCGTAAAAGTCAAGCAAGTCATTGTTGTGTACGGAAGGCTTGCTCAAGGATGTTACCTTCTTTTAAAGTCAGAACCATTGGTTTAGCATCCTATTAAGTAACCCTCGTTGAAACTGTCTGTTTTAAAGACCTTTCGGGATTCTCTGGTTTTGAAAGCTGAAACTTCATTGGCTGATGTAATAATTACCAGAACAAAAAGTAAATCGGAGTGTTTTCAGATCCTTGTAAGCAAAACTTGGATACATGATCGGTATTTAAATCAGATTGTCGAGAAACGTGCGGTCTTTAACATCGTATGTACTCAGATTTATATAGCATGTATAGATCACGTGCGTTTCCTGACGCTGAATTATTGTGACATAGACAATGAAGTAACGATGCATGTATAATATCGTTGCAACATGATAACTGAAATTTGGATGATGTCTAGCATTTGTTTTTTGCTTACACTATAATCAATGCTATGTCTTTGATTGTGTATTAAATGTTAAGGAACCTGCACTATATCAAAGAACCACTTTCTCCAAGGCCGTGGCGTAATGGAGGCAAATGACTCACCTTTGAAACGACAATCAGACTTGAGAAACATCTATCGTCTGCAAAATTTGGTATTCTAAATCATTATTATGCGAGGTTCAAACAATACATCATTGTCATTTATCACAGTGCTTTTCTATTCGACAGCAACAATTGGAGTTTTACCCACACCGGTCACCGGTAAACATAGTGTTTCGAATACCGTTCGTGTTGAAAACAAAACATGACTTGCTAAAGAGGAACCATTGAAGGATGATGGTGATGGATGGCTGCTTAACGTCCAGCGCATTAATATGCATATTCAGGACGAGAACATATTAATGAATTATAAATATTAATCCTGCTTTGTACTAAATCGACACGCTGAGCCGGATTTTTAACGTGGTAGTTCACAAGGTAACAGTCCGCAGGAAGACATGTCACCTTACTCGGAAACATTATTCTGACTCCGAGCCGACCAGTCTTTGCTCTTACTCCTTTATGTCTCGTGATAAGCGGAGAAGCAGCAAATACCAATTTTAATGTCTTTGGTTTGACCCGGCCGGGGTTGAACCCACGACTTCCCGCACTCGAGGTGAACACGCTACCACGAGACCATCGAGGCGGTACCATTGAAGGAAAAATTGGAAGACTCTTCCATTAGACAAATTGCTCTCATCAAAAAGGTGTGCATTACGTGAACTGATTAGCTGTTTTAAAAAAGTTAAGATACATTGAACGAATTTGTTGTGTGAAATGAAGACATTTACGGCAGTTTGAAAGTTATTTTTAAAAAGATTTGTCACAAGTGAAAAAGATAGTACCCATTCAAGTTGTAGGAAGTCTTCAAGAAACAATAAATCTTGCTGACAAAGACATTTGTACAAAGTTTTTATTGTATTAAAACTGCTTCTTTATCTGTCGTTGACCTACTTTCTTGTGAGAAATTATCATCT